GCTCCACCCGCAGGTTGGGCGCCATTAAACATCCATAAATCTCCTGACCGAGCAGATCTGTGGGATTGCCTGTCTAGCTCAGGGGTGGGCAATAATTTTTTCAAAAATATTTGAAGTGGCCCTGAGGCTGCTCTGGAAGGGGGGGGCCCTAAAATGGAAGGGGCAGGACCAGGATGCTTCCAGGCTTCCCCACCCCCAGACCATGATTGGTGTGGAGGTGGGGGAGCCCTTTGCCCCCCCGCTTCCCACTAAGCACCCATGCCCCTGGCAGGGCGGGAAGAAGCTTTGGATGCTCCCCCACCCCCGGGCCAATTAGGGCTGGGGGCGGGGGAAGTGCACGAAGTTTCCTCCGCCCCCCCCCAAAAGCTTTGCCCCAAAGGACTTTTGCCCGAACGGGAGCAGCACAGTTTTTCCGCAAGAAGCACTGATTTCAGACCGTAGGAAGTCAGGGCTTTTGCAGAAATTCAAGCGGCCAGTGTAGACAGCTGGCAAGTTTTTCCTTTGCCCCAAAGGACTTTTGCCCGAACGGGAGCAGCACAGTTTTTCCGCAAGAAGCACTGATTTCAGACCATAGGAAGTCAATGTTCTTGCGGAAATTCAAGCGGCCAGTATAGACAGCTGGCAAGTTTTTGCTTTTGCAGAAAAACGTGCCGGTCTAGACACAGCCCAGTTGTTTACCGGGTATGCACGTACCTGGCTCCACGCCATTCTTATCACTCTTACGAGCTGGGACCGAGGTCAAACTTGTGGACTGCTCAGTAGTTTCCCAGTTCAAGGCATGGCTTAGAGCTGATAAAGCCAAGCTGCTGTTCGGGCTCGCAGGGTCCCAGGCGATGCTAAGCTGGGTACAGCAGGGATGGAAACTTCCATCCGAGGCCTGCGAAGCTGCAGGACCCACATGTGACTTTCATGTGACAGCTCAATTTGCGTCGCTTACTTCCAGTTTGGCTCCCCAGGAGTGCTGGGGGCTGGTGCGCAGGCCAGGGGGGCAGTGGTTTCTCTTTGAGCAGAACGGGAAGCCGTCGGTAATTGCCAGCCACACGTTGGCTGACAACATGAGAAGGGGCGTGAGCAGCGCCCTTCCGGGCCTCCTTTGCCTGTGTCACCTCGCAGGGTCGCTGTGGGTGTCAGTACGCCACTGAGCTCCCTCGGGCCAAGCAAATCGCAGGGCCGGGGCGGAGAAGGGGGGCGGGTTTGTTTGTGATTTGAGAAAGGGGAAGTGGCAAGACATCTTGAGATGTGGTTCCGCGTGTTGCCCTGAGTCCGGGCAGAGATGCCGGAGGAATAGGCCGATGAGGCGGCTGTTGCGGTGAGCTGGGGAGAGGCTTCCCACACCTCAGGTAAGACCCAACGTACAGGCTCTGCCCCTCGCTCCCAGCCCTGGGGAGAACTCACGGGATTGGGGGGGCCCGGGGGGGGGGGGGTTTATAATTCCCTGCTTCTTCCCTCCCCTGCCGCCTTGCTGTGAGAGCTGGCCCGAGGGCCCTAGGAGGGGGGATTTCTGAGGTGATGGGGGAGAGCTCGAGGGCTGTGGCTGCACTTTTGAGGCCTCCTCTTTGCCTGGGGGAGCTGGCGGGATCAGGAGCTCTGGGCCAGGCCAGCTGCTTGGAGGGAAGATGCTCTTGGCCGGGGCTGGAGTTTGGGCAGCTGCTCTGGCTCCAAGGCAGGCTCCCGGTTGGCTTGGGCTGGGTCCGGCTGGGGGGTTGTCCGGCCTTCCCGGGGGTAG